GTTTTTGAATTGGATCAATAGACGTTTTCCCAGCCAGCTCGCCTTCTCGTTACAATAGGTATGCTGATGAATTTCCACAAGAACTACGACACATACTCATGGGTCAGTTCACCATGTGCGCGTGCCCTATCGAACCTCGTGGTTGTTAACACAACTGGCGGAAATCCGATCGCATTTTCAGCTTAAATGCAACATGTGAATGTGCTCAGACTACTACTGCGTGCTCTCTTTTCGAGTTCCACTGACCGATTCGGAGCAGATCGAAAAGCGCGTATTGTGATTGGGATTAAATGCGGATGAACCCATACCCCACGTTAGCTATGCGGACAGTGCGTTTCACCTCCCTTTTCTTTCTTCCTAGTGTTGGTGAGCGCATGGAATTTTCGTTTACCTGGTGTGACCCATGACACTAGAGGTAATCTTTCCCACCTACTTTTTTCTCTTTAGGTGTGCTTGTTATAGTATGGCATCTGTGTACATTCACTCGATAACCACCGGCTGATATGAGTTGGAAGGGGTTGCTTCGTTTGACCTTGGGAGAGGTGGCAAGCCCGTGTTGGGGAATACGTTGAACATTGTATAAAGGCAACTGTTTAGATTTGTGTGCACTTTTGTTGTGTTTATGCACCCGTGAATGGGGTGAACACGTGCTTTGGACGATGCATTATTTCTTTTTCCCACGTGATTCCGCCTACCATCTTATTTTACTCTTTCCCACATCCTCGACGGGGAAATATCCTGTTTAAATTTCAGGCATTGCAACATGCGGCAATCTACACCAATCGGAAACTGGAAGTAGCTTTTGTGTACGCTGAGAATTTAGAGGATCACATGCGTACCACCAATCCGGATCTGTTTCATCAGGCTTGGTTGTCTGTCAGCAGTTGTCACGCTGTAGTCGTCCCCGGTGGCTTTGGTGCCCGCGGTTTCGAGGGCAAACTGGCCGCGATCCGATTTTGTCGGGAACGTGGCATCCCGTTCCTCGGTCTTTGTTTGGGTCTTCAGTGTGCGGCCATCGAGTTCGCACGAAATGTTCTTGGTTGGCAGGTAATGTGTTCGTCGTTACCTTGGCTTCTGCTTGTACCTTTCGACTCAAATCTATCCATTAGGTGAATTTTCAGTGTTTTCAACGAGATAAAGTGGCTAAAAGTGTGTATGAAATGAAAGCACTGGTACAGCGAGGAACTCATACCAAGTGCTATTAATCCGATACACATAATGCTAGATGTTTAAATTCATTGCAATTAGAGGGAAATCGCAGAAAAATAGAAGTTAGAAAATATCACGTACCACGTAAGTACAAGTACCGTGGCGCATGGTTTGAACCTGTTAAATTGGTTTAGCACTATCACCGCTCATTGTCTTCAGCGAGACTCGAAGGAATATATTCGATCAATGGGCTCACTCATAACCGACAACCTTATCGGTGATACTAAAACTGCTGCACCAGGTACTTTATGAGGAATATATATATATATATATCTTGTCCACGATACAGTTATATAGGATTGGCAAATGTGCCACAACGTATGAAGAAAAATCAGTAGAATGTGTTCATAGGTTGTGCGGACCTCTTAATTCCCGGTTGCCCTGACCGAGGAAGAGGGATAACCTCGAGAACTCAACAGGAAGCCTTTGGCTAGAAAATCAGACCTGAAAAACAGCAGAACGGAGCTTAGAGTCTGCACTCCATTGGTGGCCGATGTCCAGTTCATCCTAATCATGCGCTCTTTAGACAGGATCAAAAGTCCAAGGTGCGAAATACACCTCGATGTGCCCTATCAAGCCAGTGGCCAGTGCCACGACCAGGAAGGTATGGACGTGTGGTTCGTGCGCCTATTCTTGGTTGGTTTCCCATCAACGATTTTAGCCAACTCCCCTGAGTGAACTGACAGTGGTTCACCGACCCGTTTATGGCCCTGGATGTTGGCTTTTAGTTTGTCATTAGTTTCTTATCCTCAGCCACAGGAAGCCATTAAGTAGGGCTTATTCAGCAGGCGCTATTTGAGACGTTCGGGTTGTATGTACAAAACAGTGTCACACTTGTTCTCTCTTTATACGTGTTGTCCAAGGAACCGATGAACTTCATTGTGCACCCTCGCTCAGAGAAATAAATAAATGCAGCCGATACACGAAGGTTAACTAAACGCTTTTTACTTAGAGATAACGTCCTCAAAATTAGTAATTCTCTCCCGATATATATATATATATATATGTGCATTGGAAGTTTTACGCGTTTTTTCGTTACTGGCAGTTCTTTGCTCTTTCTTCGTTCGTGATCTAACACGCAGATGTTCTATACATAACAATCAAATTTATAACAGTTGTGTCACCTCGTTGTCGTAGGGTCTGAAACCGGATCTGAAAAGGCGGCATTTCAAATATACTCGCATGTTTATTTGTTTACTTGTTTGTACCTTATTCACGAAACGTTTCTTGTGCCAGGATATGCACATTTTTGTGTGACGCACAAGTGCAGTTCTCGACTATCCAATCTTGTCTGTTCGATGGTTTCCAGTCGTTTTATACCACACAATTGTCTTTTCATTCTCCGAGCGGCCACATTCACCTCACACTATCGGATTATTGTTTACCCTGTTTGTTTACTTCAGTCCGTCCGTATTTCACCGATGCTATTTGCACGTATTCTGTGCTCCGTGTCGATGACCGATCAGATTAGAAAACACGACCTAGCTAACAGTACATCTAACCCAGAGTATTGTTGTTTTGATTCGTGAGCATTGAGTTGAAATTGTTATTGTCATTTGTCGTAGACAGTTTAGAGCTGGGATTGCTTTATGAGATGTTTGAACACTTTCCGTCGGTATTCAATTAGTACCTCTCCTGTTTCCCTTCCTATACTAGGACGCAAATTCAACCGAATTTGATAAAAATAGTACGCATCCAGTTGTGATCGACATGCCCGAGTTCAATCCTGGTCAAATGGGTGGCACGATGCGTCTAGGTCGTCGTCGTACCGCGTTCTATTTGTCGACAACAGCCTCTACCTACATAAATCAGACCTATGGAGCATCCGAACTTCCAGGTTCTGGTGCTGGAGACACCACACCTTTGTCGCACAATTCCACAAGCGTTGTGCATCGCCTAATCAACGCCCCATTTTACGATGCAAGGCATAGGCATCGGTATGAAATCAATCCGGAATTGGTTGATCAACTAGAAGCTGCCGGCCTGATTGTCGTCGGTCGAGATGCGGATGTCGGTAACAGAATGGAAATTATTGAATTGATGCGACCTCTGCCTCTTACCGATGGTGTTCAAGTTTGGAAACCGGACATCGATTCACCAGATAAGGCTATTACTGGACAAAAGCAGTCCGGTCCAGTTCGTCATCCCTATTTTGTGGCCACCCAATTCCATCCCGAGTACACTAGTCGCCCGGTACATCCATCTCCATTCTTCGTCGGCTTAATGCTAGCAGCGTGTGGACAGCTGGATACCTATTTACAAAAACCGATCCGTCTAAGTCCAACACAACTTCTGGAGGAGTCGGGATCCGGTTCATCTCGTACTACACTCGGTGCATCCTCGTCTCATGGTCTACTCCCGGATAAAGTTAGGTCAGACGAATTACCCGGGTTGATAGACACCGAGTCGGACTTGGACGATCCGAGTCCCGCATTCNCATTCATTGATTTCCACATAGGAGACGAATAGTCCGCCCTCCGGTACGTCTCATCTCTTAGTATGTGGCTATCTTTAAATAACTTTTGATTAATATCGTTCTCATGGTAGTGTGCGCTTTCTACATCTTAACCATCTCAATAAAAGCGAAATGGAAGTAATTTTCACTCTAACAGCGAGAAAACATCTGCGTTTATAACGCGGAACATACTGATATTTACATACACTACATTTTCCCCGCAATTCTGCACGTGCAACGGTCATCCGCCCACGAAAAGCCATTACCGGTTCATAAAGCCTTCCATTCACTGCAAGCCAGCTACACTGCCCTATCCGGTCACTGCATTCTGCGACAGCCTTTTTTGCATAAGGTTAGCTGGTTGTATTAGCTTCTCAAAAGCTATTTTTGATCATGTACTTGCGAAGCTTTCACAAGTCGAATCTATGTAAATAAAGTAGATGCTATTTTGGGAAAATACCACCTACTCATGTCCTGGTGCATCGAGATATGTTTCAGTTTGTACAAACATTAACTGTGCACTTTCGTGCACCGGTTTTGGTTGCTGTCTTTCGGTTACCCGTTTTGATGAGCAGCAGGAGCAAGACAGGAAAGTTGAAGGTATAGTCGGAGATAAAATGGAAAATTTCAGTAGATTAAGGCTGAAAAGAAATGCACGAACGCCTTTGTTTCTGGCATTCAGCCATATCAGTCAATGTCTCTAACCACCGGTTACGATCATCCTTAGGTCCCCATCCAGGAAGCCTTACAGAACCTATTTGACTTAGTCTTCTGGTCAGGGTTTTCATACCCCTCTTGCCAGGTCTTAGTTTGACCACCCTTGGCTTCGTTTCATCCACTACCTGCCCTGTGGCAACCTATCGAGTGATATGCGCCGTACATGTACCAAACAGCTAAATCTATGGAGCTCAACTACTTGCTCCAGTGAACGACTGCGGTTACCTAAAACTCTACGCCTAACCTCAGCATTACTCGTCCGGTTGCCCCCGCCAGATTCGTACAATGCGGCGTAGACTGGTTTTCGAACACCGAAAGTCTATCTTTATCCTGTGTTCTTAATGGCCAATTTTCTGCAACCTATAGCATCACTTTCCGTGTTGAACTTGGGCAGTAAACTATCGTAAGCTCAAACTCAGCCTCGGCTATTAGTACGAAGGATCGTGATATTGAAATAAACTTCTCGGGCACACTCTTCAGGGAAAGGCAGCACCAGAGTTTAGAGCGATCGACTGAGTCTAAAGCCGCTTTCAGATCGANAGGGTGGTATTTAGAATGTTATAGTGTTAATAACACAGCGATGTCGGTTGAGAATTATATTCGCCGGTGTTTCGGTTACCGTGGGTAACCTTTCTCAAGGCAGGTTTTACAATCAAATCACATTTGATTGTAAAACCTGCCTTCCTCCAGTGGTAACTGATGGTGATGTGGTCGATTTGGGTCCAGTGCTGTGAAGGGGTTGGCTGTGTCGTTTATTGTGCGTAAAGTTGGTTCTCCGTAGAAACAATCCGTGATTCGCGCAGAGTCAAAGTAGGCGATCTCTGTTGTCCGTCCGGTTGGCTGGGATTGTATGTGGACCGCTAAGAAGGCTTTCTGATTCATTCAGTGATCGCACTTGAGCATTGAAGCCTCCGGCAACTACTACGACGTCCATTGATCGAACACTTTGGAGTAATTGAGAAAGGTCCTTGTGGAACTCATCCTTGATTTCCGATGTACTGCAATCGGTCGGTGCATGCACCAGTATGACGATTAGGCATCGACGCTTCGTTTTGTAGTTGTTAACCCGAACTGAACCGTTTAGACGTACAACGCAAGTTGCCTACTAAATGGGATCCAATCAAGAAGCGAGCGCTCAGCCTTGGCTCATAGCGCAATCCCAACACCAGCAACACCGCGAGCTTCGGATGCCGAAATATCTTACACACGGAGAGTGAAACGTGAGGATGGGGTTGCATCAGGGGAACGCAGAGAGATGATTGAAGTAGGGTCTTGTATACGTGTTTCATAGACGCAACATACATGCAAATTGAGAGTTTCAAGAGTTCTAGCTAAGTCAGCTTGTTGACCGATCTGGTAGAGTGTCCGGATATTAAATGCGGCTAGGTGCAAAGGGAATCCCATAACTTCTGTTTGATTGATTTTACTGGTAAAATGTTGAGTGGTATCCGATGGGTCTCGTAAACTGGAGGCATCTGGGATTATTGGGGATTGAGATGAAGAACTGGACGGATGAGAAAGAGGTTTTTACAAATGGCTACCTAAGATTTTAGGGCACGACATCACAGCCGCCCACGCCGGCAGTAGGGCGCATATCCACCGAGGCAGTATGACGGATGCACCCATGTGGGAACTTCTAGAGACCTGTCACGCAAGGCCTTCGGTTTCGGGACGTCGCATAGTGTCTACAAGTGCCGCATCAAGTGTTTCGACGGCATCGGAAGTATGTGGCCTACGGAGTTGTAAGAAAGAAGTTAAAACGGGGATATTTTGCATACACTGCCTAAAACACTTTCACCTTTCATGTGCCAAACTCTTGGTAAAACAGGTAAAACAGTTAGCCACTCATCCAGAACGTATATGGTTCTGTGCAGAATGTACGGAAATCCCGATTGTGAAATGCATCACTTGTATCACACACAAGTACGAGAAGCTATTGTCAGGAGCCGAAAAATGTGCGAATTCAAAAATCGCCACACGATGCAAAAATAGCAGACCTGAGTTCACGGGTCACACCTGCTAGTCCCGCCAGGATAATTCTCCACGACCACTGAAAGTGGTTCTTCGAACAGAAAGCGAGGCCAAAGCGATACTCCAGCGGACCCACAAGCTGAAGGGAACTCCGGTGCGATTCCTCAGGGATCTCGATCCGGATCAGCGCAGTAAATTGAAAACTGCATTAGAAGAACTCAGGGAGCGCCGTGCAAAAGGGGAAACTGATCTGTGTATACGGGATTTTCGTGTGCATCGGGAGCGCCCTCAGTTGCGTTGGCTGCCCTTGGTAGGGGGGAGGACCCAGGAGACTGTTTAACCAAGGACGGGGGGATTAGCTTGAGGTGCGAATGGCGAGGTAACCATGCTGTGCTAGCCTCAACCAATACCCGAGGGATGCTGGGAAAAAGGGATGAGCGGGGTGGACTGGGTTGTATTCCTCAATCCCGATCTTTTTGCAATCACTGATACCTGGCTGACATCGGATGTCCGGGACTCCGAAATATCACTCCACGGATGCACAGTGCTTCGAACGGATCGATCATCATCACTTCGCGGTGATGAAGTTGTTCTTTTTGTCCGCTCGGGTTTCCCTGTTCGATTGCTGGGGAATCATGCCCATCCGGAAGGATTTGGAGAAGCCCTGTGGTGCAGAATCAAGCTTTGTGCCGGAGGGTATACCACAGTTGGAGTGATTTACCGCATACCAGCTGTGTACGTCCCAGAGCTGCTTGCCAGCATACAGAGGTACCCCCGCGATGGACCTTGTCTTGTCTTGGGTGATTTCAACGCGCTCCATGTTGATTGGGAAACTGACATCTGCTCTCAGCACGCAAATTTGTTTTCCAGAGAACTTCTTTTCGCTGTCCGGGCCCTCTTGCTTGTTCAGCATGTTCATGTGCCCACACGGATAGTTAGGGATCAAAGATCCATCCTTGACCTGGTATTTTCGCCGAGGCAATCAGATACGACTAGGGTTGACCTCCCTCCACCAATTGCATCTAGTGATCACTCCGTTCTGCGCATACACTAGAGGTGTTGTGTACCCCAAACGGACAGATCACAAGACGGACGGAATGTGTGGTGCTCATCCTTTCCGGATATGCGTCAGGCTGCATCGCTCACGAATTGGGATTCCCGAAACCCTGAGGATGTGGATGTATCCTGGGAGTTGGTTCGTCATAGAATCCAGCAAATCGTACTGGAATTCTGTCCNCCCGCCATGGTTTGACCGAGAACTGCAGGCGTACCTCCGGCAGCGGAAAAAAGCCTGGTCCAGGTACCGTGCAACAGGCGCACAATATGAGGAATATCGATGTATTCGGAATCACTGTACTGCACTAAAAAAATGCAAGAGAACCAGATTCGAGGAAGGACTAGCAGTGGATTCAGTACAAGCACCAAGGCGATTATATGCCTACCTCAGGCGAAGAATCAAAGCAACGCCTAGTCTCCCGACTCTCACCAAAGATAGGGCACTAGCCGTAAAAGATGAGGACAAATCGGAGATGCTGGCATCACATTATGCCTCAGTGTACACCCCAGCCTCCAGCACACTGGCACATCTACTGGACACTGACACTGCGCTGAACTGGGCCCCATTTACCATCGGAGAGATGGCCCTGGAGCTACGTCGACTAAAGGTTCACCAATCACCTGGACCCGGTGGTGTGCATCCGCTGATCCTGAAGCAGCTGGCAGATGAACTTGCAGCGCCACTGTGCAACCTGTTCCATTTGTCATTCACTCAAGGGCGTTTACCGCGGTAGTGGAAGGACGCTCTCATTGTTCCACTGCCCAAAGTTGGGGATAGGAGTGATCCTGGGAACTACCGACCAATCAGCCTTACCAGTGTTATGGGTAAAGTAATGGAGCGACTGGTGGCTGCACGGCTTCGGCAGCATTTGGTGTGCCACCAACAACACGGTTTCCGGCCTGCTACTTGCACGTGAATGCTGGACCGAGGACAAGGCCAAAGGACACGAAACGGTGGTGCGGCGACATATCCCTGCACGGCCGGTGAACTGGCTAAGGTGGAGCGTGTACAACGTGCTGCCACTAGACTCGTTGTTGGACTACGCGGGACCAGCTAAGAAGGTCGTCTACAGGTTACTGGTCTTTTCCCAATTGCGTATCGACGTCCCAGGGGAGATCTCATCTGCCTGAGGAAGATCCTGAGAGGTGGTATGGGCCCGGAGCTGCAACAGTACTTCCCTTTACGGACAGAGCACCGCACGCGGGGGCACTCTCTCACGTCGCGGAAACTTCAGTCAGTTGGTCTTCCGTTAGTTTACCGACTCTCGCGTAGGTCAACACCACTCTAGAATTCCCTTTCAACGATTGTCGTGGAAGACGAGACAGACGCTGCTTTCAAACGGTGTCTGTATGAGCACCTGAAGGGGCTGTGGAAGAATGAACACTTATGATCGGACCTTCGACCCAGTGGTGTTGGAGCTTACACGGGCCCTCTGCTGTCAATCCTGAAGACTGAAGTTTGTTGTTCGCTGGTGCGTTGGTTGACGTTCCGCTTTTCGAGATTGCCCTTTAACCTCATGCAACCAATGAGACGAATGGAACGTGGACGGGACAGCAACTTATTGGTTGGTGGCCTGCCCAATGAAGTGCGAAGATTTCTTCACCCGTCCAGAGAAAATCCCAGGTACCCCGCTCGTACGTCTATCTAACGGGGTTTTTTTATCGGTAAACTGCTCCTCCCCGTGTTCATTCGCTGGAGTGATCTCTCCAGGGGCGAGAGTGGATAGTCATAGGAATCTAGGATTTGCTCAAGCAGCTGGCTTTGTGAGACCGAGTTTCGTCTGGCTTCTACCCGTTGACCTTTCAGGCATGATTGGATCTGCGCATGTGGAAAGCTATCCTGTATAGCTCGCGGGGTCATAGAGGCACCCAAGCCATCACACCACGTCAAGGTGCAGTCTCGTCGTGATAGATCGATATAGGTATATGTAGGGCTAATTCTGTAAAACAGGAATGTGTGAAAAGCACCAATCTCTTAACGTTTGAAAATATTCCACTCTTTCTTATCCGAATTCGCCACTTGTGATTGAGTCCAACAAAATATTTTATCATTACAAATTGTGTTGTTATCTCGTGAACATCATTTCAACGTTCTTTTCCTTTTCAGACTATCCTCGTCGCGGGGTTATTGGGACCCGTGCCTACGTTCCCTTCTAATTTCGAAATGTAAAGACTGAAAGAAGACTATAATTGCTTTTTTATAATGATGATGATGATGTCAAAGAGAAATTGAAATAAAAAAAGTTTACTTACTGTTTGTACCTGATAGCTTGTACTGCCGAATGTCTACCACTCTATTTTCTTATCATCGTACTCGTTTTTGTTTTTGCTCGCGAGGTCAACGTAATTTTTCGTTTAATTCAATTATGAGAAGATTAGAAACCGCAATGGACCTCTAATTCATACTTGGCTGCCCTCTAAATGGAGATAGAAGGATATACAGTAAGTCACTGTAACCATCACAGTTAAGTTTTGGAAATAATGTGAAACGATTGTAGCTCGGGATGCGATTTTTGGTGTTGGTGTGTTCTCCTAGCTGGAAGTGTAGTTTACAGACGTTTCGTAGTCAGACTAGATTACATTATCAGTGCAGATGATTGGCTCTGAATCTAGTTCTTTTCTTCACATGATTGTAAAGTTCATGCGATTCAATAAACATCCCACGGAGCTCATAGTGAGAACACAAATTGGCAAATAAGCTCGTTTTCACTGTCTTAATCATGGCATTAAAACAATAAATATGACTAGTATCAGCGAAGGGTTTACGATAAACCGTGTAAATTTCCACTCAAACGGTTGTCGGGAGTTAAGTGACCTACCCAGCTTTAGGTGATCCAAGACACCCATAACAAAAATGTGCCTGAACTTCAATGGCGATATGCTATAGAGTTTACAGAAGCGTCTCATTGGCTGAATGAAGAACGAGAAAGCACACCTTTCAAAGCGATATCGCGTTGCTACAGTCGTACTTGGCACCATGATGAGTCAGACCCCAGTATGCTCATCAATCACAGTTCGCTGCTTAACCAGAGCGGCACCCCGTTTTAGGGCGATTACCTCTGATCACTGTCATGCAGAGCAAGCGCAATTCCGAGTCCAGAATATCGTCTGTTAGTCGGGTTTCGATAATCGCCATGATATTCGATCGAGTAATGTGAAAACGTAGTTCTATCTCTTAAAATTTTGCTGAGGAAGCTTTGGGAATTGGTGTAGGAGTAATTCAGTCAATGGCGGAGCAAAAGTTCCTTAGGGTGGTGAGGTTTAATCGTGTTGACCGTTTCGTGGTCGGACAGTTCAGGTTTGTTGGCTCTGGTTGCGAGTGGGAACATAAAATCTGTGATGGCAACATTTTCCGTCGGAGGAAAACCTTTTGGTTATCCATTCTGCACTGCGGTTCTGGTTTTCCCGTTTCCGTAACACAACCGTGAGACAGGTGTAAACATTTCTGGTGTTACCAAAGCTCTTGTCATTATCCTCAGACAGTCTCTGTGGTACTTTGGAGAACCATATTCAGTCAAATCTTGAATAAATCGGAACTGTTTCCAACCATTTTAGGCGTCTGAATAATCCAGTCGTCGGACGCTATGTACATGTGTGAGAATCACTCGTGCCTTCTTTGTTTCTCGTACACTCGTATTGAGATATACTACTGATTTGTGAGTCGTATATGCGCGCACAAAGAGATGTTAGGTAGATTTTCACGGCATCTGGGAGTGGATTAAAGTATTTAGTATTGTAATCGCAGAAGAGACTGTTAAGCTACTCGACTACGGATCAATAATCCTCTATGGGATTATTGATCAACTGTCGCAGATCAGTGTTTTGTTCTGTGTGATCTTGTTAATCCCTCATCCATGATGACCTTCTGATACAGCACTTTACTCAGTTTGGCACTGCCTTTCGTATCTACGACGCCGGTAGGATCGTTCCATCGAATCATACACTCCATGGTCTATCGATTAGAATCCTTTTATTTGAAACTCTTCCCAGGTGAAAGTCGGAGCGTGTTCTACATCTGGTTCGTTCCGTAACGTAATTCGAAATAACCTAGATTCACCGACGTGAGTTGATGTTGGACAGTGCCAAAGACCCATATGTTTGACCATAATAACCAGTGGTACACAATGAATTCCATCGGTTAAGCTCCTTCCCTGTCTCTCCTAGTAACTGAGGTTATTACTCTCAAAGATGGGTTGTGCTATATCGTGTAAATGGAAAATGAAAAACGGTCTGTTCACCTACCCGGTGCCCGAGTGGGTAGTATGCTTACATTCTATTTGCGAGGTCCCGGGTTCGATCCTCAGTTGGGTCGATGAATTCGCACTGTTGATGAGACCCAACCTGGTCGAAACAGCTGTTCACTGCTTCCTAGCTTTTCCGTTCACGCTTCATTTACTATTTGCACGACGAATTCACCTTTGATAATGAAAAATGTTCGACAGGATTCGAGCGCACGTCTTCCGGGGTGGTGGCCTCTACCGCCGGTGAATGAGAGTCTGCAGATCCATGGAGCATGCGTGCACAAACGAAATCAATGTATCCACATTGCAACTTGGAGAGGTCTATTTTTCAGTTTGGGTAGCCATCCAATTTGAGTATATAAACGGATGGGCTTACATCGACAGAACCATGACTGGTTCCAAGTACCTAAGAATATTGAATGATTGATTGGAGCCACTGCTAGAACAACTACCGAACGTCTATTTTCCGGGATAGTAACTCAACTGTTCCACTGATTGAATTAACATTAATAAGGATAATAATAATGTCCTTTTACTTCTTTTTTTATTGAATATCTAAATGTACAATCAATTTCCAAGAAGGGGGTCACGGCCATACAAAGGCTGTCTGGGAAAACACAGAAATGGGCAACGATGGAGCGGTTCGAACCCGGGACTTTCGGGTCAACATTATGATGACCTTGATCGCCCCGTGCCAGTGACCGCAATGCATTGTCCATTCGTAGCTCGTTTTTCGATGTAAATCCATCATCCCCAGAGTCCTTGCCGGTTGTAATGCATTCATTTTTGTGTACGTTCTGAACCGAAGAAGAAGTAAGGTTTCTCTATTCTAAGGGTGTTTTGGTCGCACAGCGATTCCTCTGTGGTCGTAGAAATACCTTTCACATGTCGCAGAATGCCGAGCGCTGTCAATGAGACAACATGTACCGAATGCGAACGAATGTCAAGCGAGCATCGTTCACAAAAATTTGGTTCTGTGGTTGGAATGAGTAATGTCAACTCATTCATCCTAAGCGTATAATTTGTCCATCATTGTGTGCTGGGACCTCGTGTTGACCTGGCCTCACAAGACGCATTACGTGTGTGGGTGTTGAATGGCATTGTTTGAAAACATTCAGTCACTGTCTCTGTGTCCCTCCAACATTCAGGATCGTTTGTGGTCTCCGGTTTGATATTCACTTGACGTGTTATTTGTACTCCATCCGTTTTTCCCCATATATCTACTGAATGCAATACAGTTTAACTGACTCTGTCCTCGCATTCATATGCACGATCGACATAAAGATGACAACAGGCGGAAGGTTGCGTTGGGAGCCACAACCCCAATAAAGTTTATGCTTTGTTCATCTTTTACGTTGTCCCGGTAGTCACACATACTCCATTTGTATCCCTCAAATCTCATCAAGGAGGATTTTGTGACTGTTCTTACTGGTTTGATGCAAATTTTCCCTACTCCTAACATTCAGTGAATTATTTCGTATCAACACGGATGC